TGATTTAATGTATATTGAAACAAAGAGCATTTAACTACCCTAATACTTAGTCTATTCTAAAGCTACAAAAATTACCAAAGATCAGCTCAAAAATTAAATTAGAAAACCATTGCTAATTCCTTATGAAAAAGAAAACTAAATCTACCGTGTGGCCCACACGCGAGGCCGGCCCGCGCGCGAGACGTCCCGCAGCGGCGGAATCCCATGCGCGCTGGCACTTTTGCAAAATAGACCTCACACTTCTCCTGAATTACAACTAAGTCCTAACGCTATGGTCCAACCGCCTACACCGAGCAGCAACACGGGGTGGTGGGACGCACCGGAGCGAGCTGCGGTGGCGCACGACCATCCACGATGGTGTCACGACTGCTTCGGTGAACCAAGGCACCTAAGGACCTAACCGGCTAGCGACTGAGCATCAATAGACTACCATGGACCCAGCTGAGGTGACGGTTGGAGAAGAGGGTGACGGAGAAGGGCTGGCCACGTGCAGCCGAGCCATGCGGTGGCACACCATGGCAGCACGGTCGCGTCAGCGATGACGAGGAGGCTATAGCGGTTTGGCTAAGGCACGTAGGGTGAAGAGGGAGTCAAGGCGATGCTCGTGGTGTAGGTGAATTGGTTCGGGATGGGTGGTAGGAGGGCTGCCCTCGACCATGGTCGAGCGCGGCCTTAATGGCATGGCGGCGGGAAAAACTCTAAATTGGAGCTTGGCCTTGCACGGTTCAAGGCCGGGTGGGGTAGGATAGTGAGAGGACGTGATGTTGAAACCATGGATGCACTGAATTGAATGGAGGTGATCATTTGCTGGGTAATTTGATGGCGCGGCTCGACGGCGATAGCAGAGGGAGAAAGTGAGAAAGAGAGAGACGGGGCGCGGCAGGTGGGCTTGGCTCGGCCTCGCCTTGGCGGGATGCGGTCAACGTGATCATGGAGGCCCACGCACAGGCTCTGAGTACAAGCACGCGCATCCACGACCGGCATGGCCCGCGTGACCATAGTACCATAAATGGCAAGGCGACAGCGAGCTCTACCACGTGCGCGCGGCTACGGCGAGCACCAAACCGGGTCAGTAACGGGGTAGGGGTGTAGAGGAAGGCACGTACATGATGGTGAGGCAACATCACCTAGAGCGGCTGTGTTGCGGCATAGTGTGGGTCGGTGGTGCGGCGGGACAGCCCACGTGCCTGCGGTGGCAGAGCGAGCGGCAGCAGCGCAGCACGGCGTCGGTAGCAGCAACGTGAGGCAGGGTAGTAGTGTGTGGACGTGACGACGAGGTGACGGTGCCGGCAGTGGCTTCGTCATGGCGTGGGGTGGGCCAGGCGGCAGCAGCAGCTCCACGCGGCGGGGCCAGCGGCAGCCGGGCCACAGCCAGGCCAGAGGCAACCATGGCTGGCTATGCGCGGCAGCGCACGCACGCACGACCAGCGCGGCGACGCCGAGTGCCCGAGCTGGGTGACCGCGTCCACCCGGCGAGTTAGGCCGAGAATGTGTCGTGCACGCATTTTAAAGCACCTATAACAACTAAATGGTTGCTTCTGGACCTAAACCATCTTCACCATGCTCAAGATGGCATATGAGGCTACCAAACATTGCACTGTCTTACTGCTTATATATACTTAAATTCTTCTAAGTCCTTGAGCTGAATTTGATTTCAAGTTCCATTTTTAGGCTATTAGAAATGTAGGCTAGCAATATTATTTTTCCACAAGTATTTCATTGTCATCTATAAAGTTCATATTCCAAATTCTATTTAAGTGCCACATATATGTTCTATAGTATTTTTGTTCAATAAAAATTGGTTTTAAACCCTACTTGATATACATGAGTTGTGTAATAGCTTCTCATTTAACATTTTTATTGATCATTTTAGGTTGCAATACTTCATCTATTCATTCCATCACATGCATTATCACGTAAGCATGATGCTCATGACATGGTTTAGTAATTTGTTTAGAGCGTAACACCGAGGGTGTTACACATGGTATATGGAATATCTTTTTTGGTGTTGCTAGATCCAACAATGACATCAACGTGCTTAACCAATCAGATTTGTTTGTCGAGCATCTGAGAGGAGGAGCTCCTACCGTGTAGTACTATGTCAATGGAGCGCAATATAATAATGGTAATTAACTAGCAAAAGGTATATATCTAGAGTGGCTTGTTTTCGTTAAGTCAATATGTGAACCACAATCAAAAGCAAGAAGGGACAAGGAAGGATGTTGAATGCGCCTTTGGCATTTTGTAATCTCGCTTTTGTATTTTGCGTTGACACATCTAGACGAGCATGGGAATCATGAGAATATTATGCTTGCTTGTATAATCCTCCACAACATGATAATTGAAGATGAGAAGGGTTGATTTGAATGAGGAAGCAAGCACATATACTTTTCTAGCAGCTATAATCTCTCATGGACAAAACCTAGAGATGGAAGACGTACTTCAAAGAAAAGCCATCATACATGATCGCTAAGCATATAGACAACTTCAATCTAATTTGATTTATCATATTTGGCAAGAGTTTGGGAATTCAAATAGTCAAATTAACTAGGTATATTATTTTTTATGAAAAACTAATGATTCATCTCTTGGGGCCTTCTTTAGGCATGATTCATCCCCTAGTGTTTATCCTAATCATTTTGTCCGCTATTTCATAACCTAAAGTTATTGATTAGTGTATAAATAAATTGGTAGCTCATGTTTGTTTATTGTAGGATCTCTGGTTGGCCTAGAGGGGGGTGAATAGGCCTGTCAAAACAAACACTCAAACTTTTATCAAATTCATCCAGCGGCACTACCGGACTGTGGCACTGTCGAGCCAGAACAGTAGCACTGCTGCACCTGCAGACAACTTCGAATCACAGTTCAAAATCCATGAACGAAAACTTAGATCGGAGAAATTTCCTAGCTTACTGCAGGTATGACAATCACAGATCAAGAGCTAGAAGTGGTAGGAACACCACACACAAGTAGATCGACTATAAACCCTAGTAATCATCTCAACCACAATATGTCATGCAAGTAATGTAAATCAAGCACAAGTGACACAATGATTTATCCTGTGGTTCGGCTCGCCACCAAGGCTTGCCTACCTCCACGTTATTGAGGTTAGCCACTAAGGATTAGGGCTTTCCAACCCTTTCTCATTCTCAAATTAAGAGAATTAACTCTTGAGATGAGGGGTGAGTTTACTAACTTCAAGAGATGGTTACAAACCTCTTGGGGCTGCCACACAAGTTGGCAAGCTCCACGGGCAGCGCTCTAGCCGGCTAGGAGCCAAGCTCCAAGAGTAACAAACACAACCGCCGGCCAAAACATGAACCAAGTGCTTTTTAGAGTTGGGGAATCAATGGAGGTGCTCTCTAATCGAGTTTTGGACCCTTTTCCCTCAAAGATTGACGGGGAAATCAATGGATTTGCTTGGGGGCTTAAGGTCAACAATGGAGGGAGAGAGAGAGCTCCTGCTCTGTTTTGGGCGTGATGAAGTGAGGAAGAAGAGGCAGAGAGTCATTGGGGAGGAAGGGGAAAGGTATATATACCCCCCAGCCTCCAACGGTCACCGCACCCAAGGGGTCGGGCTAGACGGAGCCCACGGCCTCGAGGTCGGAAGAGACGGAGCCCGTGACTTTGGGCGAGACAGAACCCGCGTCCTTGGGGTCGTGCGAGACAGAGCCCGCACCCAAGGGGTCGAGCGAGACGGAGCCCGCGGCCTCGTGGTCGGGCGAGATGGAGCCCGCGGCATTGGGGTCGAGCGAGACCTTTTAATATGTTTCGATCCATCCTGGGAAGTCAGCGTGGGCGCTAACTTCCTTGTGCCGCGACTCAAGTGTGGCAGTGCCTCTCTTCAAGTGTGGCAGTACCGCACCACGCAAGACAGCAAGGGTAATAGTGAAGTGTAGACTGTCTTGGCTGTGAATCTGAGAATGCATGTGGTTGTTTGAGCACTTGGTAGCACATATTAGCTTAAGCATTATGTCCCCCTTTATAGTACGGCTTTTCCTATACTCAAATTTAAAATATAAAAGAATTTAAACCTCCTTTGAGTTTGAAGCCATCTATATTTGTAATTGAGGGCTTCTCCGTTTTGTGTAGCATCCTCGAATATAAATTCCCTGCTTGTCATCTTGATAAATCTCATTAGTTCTCTAATTGCGTGGTCATTATCACCAAAACTCACAATTAGGGCTTGATCGACCTCTTCCCTCAGCCTTCACCGTGGGCCGCGCAACTCCTTACGACCTCTCCTCCGTCCCATCCTCTAGGAGGGATGAGGAGAGATCGAGCCCTGCCAAGCGTACCTGCTCTGACAAGAGCACGCACGGCGCAGTGACCCCGCAAGGACAGAGGGGACAACAGTCCCCTCCGCCCGGTCAGACACCATCCCTGCACCATGAAGTGCAGACAAGACAACACCGCCGAGCGGTGAAGACCAGTACGTTGGCTCACCATCCAAATATGGCTCGACAAGACAGATGTACAACCCCACCCACTACAGAATGGGGGCCACGATGGCGGCCTTGACTTTTGAGGCCAACTAAGCCAACGAGGGCCACGACCACGGAGCACGGGATCGTGGCCACCGACACCACAAGCAGCAAGACGATCAACAGCCCGGGGCCGGCTATCAACTCCTGTACGTTGTCCCCAGGAGATCAGGAGGCGATGACGAAGGCCATGGTGAGACCATGTCGCGTAGGACGCCTGACGAAACACCACCGTGCCCATAGTGCCACACCATGACCGGCACTATAGCACTATGCCACACCATGCCGCGACGTGGGCACAAGACCATGACAATAACCACGCTCGGACGTGCATCTCAAGACGGCGTTACTTGCAAGTCAAGTTAGCTAGTCCCCCTCCCTCAGGCTCACGACACCTCGGTCGGGAGAACCTTCTTCTTTGCATGTGACCTAGCCCCGGACTCTATATAAGGGTAGCCAGGGCACCCTTCCTGGACATGATCTCCGGACTCTCGAAGTTTTCATTTGGGTAGTCCATCTCCTAGCTCTAGCTCTCCTACCTCTTCCACCGTTCTTGCACTCCCCATTGTAAGAACTTCAGAGCATTCAAGCGAGGAACACGCACTCGATCATCTCTGAGACTGGACGTAGGGCTCCGACCTGAACCAGTATAACTCCTCGTGTCTTTTGGATGTCACTATCGTCTTCCTAGAGCAGCGCGACATTCGTATAAATTCATTAGTCGGTCTACAAAACACCGACATTATCAATATATGGTTCTCTAGAAACATGTTTACTATTATATAGGCGCTACAAAGAAATAGTGCCGACTCGCATAAGAGGCTATATGGTTGCTTGCCACGGCTGATCTGCTTCTTTTTTTGTCGTGCATTTAAATTTTCGTTTGATTGAAACTTCTATATAAATTATGGGTTGGGAATGATAGTTTGTATTAAACATTAATTGCTTTCTTTCTCTCTTGAAAACTATCTTTAGAAACTATGTATTGGGACCGTCCTTAATGGCTCTACTTTTTTTTTGCGAAAAAATATTTTGCATACGTGTCCAGACATAAGATTAACTGGGCGCCAAGAGAGAAAACTTTCATGTACCGAATGACGTTGCGTGTGTGGAGAAAAATAGCACACCTGTTATTAGCGAGGGCGTAGATCCTGCTGCATGGTGCTGTGTGCGGAGAATAGCGCGTACCAGGTAGTAGAAAGAGAATTTAGGGCTTGTTTAGATCGTAAATTTTTGCAATCCGGACACTGTAGCATGTTTTGTTTGTATTTGACAAACTTTGTCTGATTATGGACTAACTAGGCTCAAAAAATTCGTCTCATGATTTACAACCAAACTGTGCAATTAGTTTTTTTTACCTACATTTAATGTTCCATACATACATCCAAAAATTGATGTAATTGAGAGAGAATAAAAAAACTTGAAATTTTGAGGCAATCTAAACAAGGCCTTACGTGTGCATACATGTGCACGGAGGCAGGCGATTTTCTCAGAGCAAGTATAATAAACCATGTCAGCAAAGTTTGAAGCGAAAGAGAGAAATTTGGAGAGAGAATGGGGCGGGCGCTGCATGCGTCGCCGGGGCTGTTCACGTTCTCCAAAGTTGAAGTGGAGCCCACTCGTCTTGACTCTCCGAAACAAAAGGCAGAAGGCAGGCCTGCGTATGACAACCGAGGGAGAGAGAGGGGGGTATACAAATCAGTTAGTGGCGGGTCCCACGTGGTTAAAAAATATTTTCACAGATTGTGAAGAGCCTTGCTTACTGTATGAATGGTCTATAAGAATAGTCTTCACATAACATGGCTTGACTATTAGACAAGTTTATTGGGCTGGCCCTTAACGACACTAGGCGGAAAAACATTTCGATAGTTATTTGTAAGTGGAACTGTAGTTATTCAAAGACAGAACCCAAGCGACTTTTCTAGGAATACACAATAATTAATCTGCTCTTTGGTCTTAGCGTTTTCTGAGTTGCGCCTACTATCTTCCCCAAAAAAATAAAAAAATAAAAGAGAGCGACATCTTATCTTCACCATTCGCATCGGCTCCACCGCAACGCCCGCCCTTCGGTCGCGAACGCATGAGCTCTGCTAGTCGCGTGCGCACGAGCTCCACCAGCCGCGCTGCGCCGCCCACTCGTGGTGAGGGAGACCACTGCCGCCTCCACCACGAGGGTCGGACACCTGGCCAGCAGCCAGGAACACCTCTGCCTCCACCTGCCTAGCTCGCTGCAGCCGGGTGTGGAGTTTGCCCATGTTCAGCTCACGGTAGTCCGGTTGGAGCTCACCCACGCACATCTCACACCCGCCTACCCAGTTCATCGTGGCCGGGACGGAACTCGTCCGCGTGCAGCACACGACGGTCAGGGTAGAACTCCACACGCCGACGAGGATCCATTCTCCCAAGCAGCACGGAGATGTTTGCGCTGAAACTGCATGTTGCAAGCGTCTATTTCAAGTGTTTCAAATGTTTTCGAGGTATGTTGCAAATGTCTTATATCGATGTTACAAAAGTAGATCGGGATGTTGCACATGTTGCAATGGTGTTTTCTAGTGTATGTCACAAATATTTCATTTGTTTCAGATGTATGTTGCAAGTGTTTTTATTTGGATATTGTAAAAGTAGATCTGGATGTTGCATATACATCCATGTTGCAAGCGTATGTTTCAAGTGTTTTAGAAGTTTCATACGCATGTTGCGAGTGTTTTATCTGGATGTTGTATATATTTTGCAATGGCTATAAACATGTTTTTCTGATGTTTCAGACGTACGTTGCAAGTGTTTTAATTGTTTCGGACGTATGTTGCAAATGTTTCATCTAGATGTTGCAAAAGTAGATCTTGGTGTTGTGCATGTTGCAGTAAAATCCATCTGTAGCAGCCACTTGTTGCAGCCGCTGGGCGCGTTTACATGCGCGTGGGTGTGGAGAGGGCACCACAATGTGGGCGCAGGACACGAAGTGCGCACGGGCCAAGGAGCGGCACGGGTCCCCACGTGAAGCCGGCACAGGCGCGGGCGTCCCCATGTCCGGTCGCTAGACGTTCCAAATCTCAAACTTGGAGTGCTCGCAATTATATCCTTCCGAGGATGGAGTGTCTAACTGTTTTTTCGCACGCCAGTCCACTACCTTTTTTGGCCCTGTTCGGCAGGACTGAAAAATACTGTTCCGGCTGATTGTTGTGAGAGAAAAATACTGTTCTGGCAGGACGTGAACAGTGATTCTGTGAGAGGAAAAATAAGCCAGCTGGCTGGAAACAAGCCAGCCGAACAGGGCCTTTATGTGTCTAGTCACTTGCGAGCGTAGGGCCTTTCCGTTTCAATTCAGTATAGAACTACAAAAATAGTCGCTGAATTGCAGATGGATTGCTATCGGGAAGATTCAATTCAGTTTGTAGAATTACAAAATTAGTCGCTGATCAGATCACAATAAAAAATAGCAGTACCCGACCCGCTAAGGAACAGTACCATCCCTTTCTGACCCAGATCACTGCAGATGAACAGTACCCGACCCGCTAAGGAAATTTCAACTCGGGTTCATCAGTCCTGCACTGCTCCTCACCATAAACCTGAAATTTTCTTCGTTACCTGCAGCAGACATCTTGCAACAGGGCACCTGACAACAGTATGGCTAGCCTCGCTTTCTAAACCACTGATCATGAACAGGTCATGAAAAAATAATTTAGTTTAGAGCAATCCATATAGCAAATTAATTTTGCCTCCTGTGTTAAGTTTAATTAAGTTTAGAGCTCATTGAACTGATCAGTCGTACCGTTTCAGCGAAATAACAGTGTTTTTCTCTCACAACAAATCAGCATCAACCGTTTTTCTAGCCAACCGAACAGGGCCTTAGTTCAAAGCAATCATGTAGCAAAAGAAAAGTGCAGAAAGGAAACTTGGCTACCTATTCCATTAAGTGGTTGCTGGAATCTCTCTCTCCTGGCTTAGTTCCTTCTTCACCTCCTTCAAAATTATGCACAAAAAAAATGGAAGTGGCTAGATATAGAAACTGAAATGCGCAATGGCCTCCCTTCCCTTCTTCTCTTCCTTGGATATCAGCGATTTTCAGGCCATATGTATAATTTAGCATAATCGGAACTTAAACAGCTTCATCATAGATGGCTTTGTTAAATATTTAAGATGCAAACAACTTGCCAACTGCAATGCAAAATTAACAGGTATACTAGCTTCGGTTGAATGAGATCCCAGAAGCAGAAGATTCTAAAGTTTCTGTCAATAACACGCTAAAATCATTTGAACCACAGCAAAAGTGAACAACCTGGAAAGAGTAAGAAAAAAAAATGCCACAATAGAGTTCATAATAAGTGGCATCTGTTGATCATCTGCTATGGCCTGTCAGTTCGGCTGAACCAAACAAACAAGAATTGGTACAGGTAAATTTTTCGTGTGTACAAAATGAACACATGCTAGAAATTAAGCGGCTTAATGTCTACATGAGCATCAAAATCATTATGCTGAAGACGACACGTTGCTGATTCAGTTTATGATTGAATTTTGCAACTGTTCACCTGCTTGAGCCTACAGTTGATGCCCTATAAGACTGTCTCCAACGCCTTATGCAAACGGCGACGCAAACCTAAAATGGGTTACACACAGTGTTTTTAGCTGCTGAAAACCAGTTCCAACGGAGGACGCAAACACATCATGCATTTTGGGGACGAGGCCACCCGAGACGCTTATTTGCGTCGTCTTTCTCCAAGACGCAAAATCTTCGCCAGCGAGGCGGGCCCGACGACGGCGAGGGGGGGAGGGAGGCGGGCGGCGCTCACCGGATCTCGCTGGGGGGAGGGAGGCCGTGCAGGGGAGGGAGCCCGGCCGACGCAGCCGCGACGCAGCTCGCCGGAACCCTAGATCCAGGAGGAGGAGGAGGAGGGCCTACATCGTCGGGGCCGCCGCGCCACTGGATCCGCGCCGGGGTTGCCGCACCAGGGCCCGTCCGTGCCAACGCCGCCGCGCCTGGGGTCGCTGTGCCGGGCCACAGCGCCGAGGGCCTCCTGCCGCTGTCCATGGCGCGGTGAGCGCGGTGGGGTGCAGGGAGGACGCGGTGGAGCGTGGTGGGGCGTGGTGGGCGCGCGGTGAGCTCGCCGGGAGGACGTCGGGCGTCGGGGAGGGAGAGAAAGAGGAAGCATCGGAGAGAGAGGAGGCCCGGTCTCCTCCGTGGCACGCTCCACTGGATCGGTCGCGGGGAGGGAGGTGGGCTGTTGGAGAAGGGAGGGGATGGGTCAGTGACCTATTTACTGTGTAGAACCCAAATATGAGAATGGGTCGTTGATTTAGGTATTGCTCATTGGAGATAGTCTAAAGAAGACAAAATTGAAGCCCCTGCAGTGCTACTCAAAGAAGCATGGGGCTCGCTGTTATGGTTAGTCAGAGCACTGTATTCAGTATTCAATAGTTTGTTGCTCCCTAATTAGTACTCCGTCCGTGAATACAAGGCGTAATATACAGAGTTAAGCTTGAAGTCTACTTTGCATTGGCCTTTCCTGGCACGGCAATGTCCTTTGTGGTGTCATCGGCTCCCGATGCAGTGGCCCCTCGCCTTGCGTGGCTACTTGCTCCCGGCACGACCTCCTCCCCGCGGCGTGGGAAGGACTCCCCAACGCGGCCTCCCCTAGCTATAATGACCAAGTAGAGGCTCTGATTTGAGGCATATCGCTAGAGTTGGCCTTCAAAAGTAGAGGAAGCCCTCAAAGTTCTAGCAAGAGCCTCGTTTTAGGGGCCATTGTTGGAGATGCTCTAAGTGTGAATATGCCTTCGGTCAGATAGGCAAGGAGCAAATCATATTTCCATCATTTTTTTGAAATGTCAGCAGGTGAACCTATATTTTTTATATTCATATAAGGAAAAGTATATACAAGTTACAGAGCTTTCAAAGCTCAAAAGGGAAAAAGAAAAAGCTTTAGGAGAAATTCTCTCGCCACAGGTCTAGGGTCATTTTCAGGTTTTGCTTGGCTTTGATACAAACCAATCCAATCTCCTCTTTGAATCTGTTCTTCCAATTCTGAGGTTGCAGACTTCATTATCAAAGACAACTCCATTTCTTGTTTTCCATACGATCCAATAAGTTGTAATTACTAGTTCTCTGAAAATGGGGCTGCCAAAAGTTGTTCTGGCTTCTATCACCATGTCCAAGGGCTGCACATTCAGAGATCACATATGATTTGATGCATAAATGTTGTTTCATTTTCTTGTTAGCATGGGAGGCCATCGAGATGGTCTTCATGCTTGACTTTTTTTTTGCATGCTCATCGACAGTTGATGTTTCTGTGGCTATAATTTATGTTAAGCTCTGGTTTGATTCTGCTGTTTTTTTATTGATAGAAAATTGCAATTTAGTATACTGAATTCGACTTTTATGGTGCCTTTCCAACAGAGCTGATGTTCTATTATTACAATCAAGTTAGACAGGCTATGGATATTTTTTCAACTAAGAGGAACTCCACTAGATTGAGAAAAGAGATCCATTTCCCTATATTCTTGCAGTACCCTTCACTGTAAACTGCATCCTTCTGTTTACATGGGGAAATCACTGCATCCTTCTGTTTTGCTAAGCCTGAGTTAGCTGCATTCTTCTAAAGTGACCATTTTCCAATTCTAGGCTGTACATGCCCTAAGAGATTTTTTTTGAAAAAAGGAAATGTTCCGGACATGCCCTAAGACATAAAAGTAGTACAAATTATTTAGGATGGCAATGAAATTTTTGGTGAGTTATATACATCGTTCAGTTAATAGTTGATTTTACTAAACTTTGGTTTGTCCATGTTACCTTGCCACATAAGCTGAGACCTGAAGCAACAATCAATTGCCAATAATTGAAGCATTGTGATGCAATGATTTTGTTGGAACAATTAATAATCTATCTTTTTTACTGTTTGAGTTTGATAATCAATTGACATTTATGTGTTGATCTAAAAACTTTAACCAAATCTGAATGTCTTTTGACATAACTATTTGTAATTAAGCCCTGCTATGTAGCACTCCTTATCTACAAGGTGAAGTGGAAGGAGTTTTAGCTCGTGTTTCGTTGGTTTGAGCCGGAGATAGGCAGGAAGTACAGAGGCTGATATGCATTCATATATGCTTATGTAAATCTGTTGAGCTCATTTCTTGTTCACTGGTTCTTAGCTATTACTAATTCACTCTGAATCATGCATATAGTTATTCTAAGATTTCAATAACTGAGGTGTATATAGTGAATATGGACATACACATGGTTAACATACTGATTTCCCATGTAAAAACTCTTTGTACATGTTCAGTGAATTAAAAGTTTCGAAATACCTTTGTTTCTAATAACTAAACAAAAAATGTTTAATGGTCCTCCAATTTCAGTTAATGGAAGCGCCATTCATCGACAAACTCGATCGATACTCTACTGACATATGTGGTTATCATTTTGCAAAATCCTTTCATACTCTACTGACACATGCTTTGTTTTTTATGTACAGAAATTGTTGCCTTCTGTGTATTTAATAAAATATGGTAATGGTACCACCATATTTTTTTTATCTGCTACCACTAATTGTGCAGAAGACAAGGAAGGTGCCCATTAACAAGAACCGATCATGATGGAAGCTTCAGAGTAGGCGAGCCTGGCAAACTTGTGCTTACTGTCAACAACCCATCATCCAAGAAGAAGCTCCTTTATATATCAAAGGTGAAGAAAACTAGCGAGTGAGAGGTCATCTGTAGCTGCCTGGGTCTACAGTTAAATGATCTACTATAGTTCATCTCAGCATGATAGAAGACAGAAGAAACCTTCTGGTTTAGTTCATTAAGTTATTGGGTTTTGCTGGTTTTTGGCTCAAAGTCTATTTTGTTTGCTTAAACTAAAGTGGTTTTGATTTGGTGATACTAGACGGGAGAAGTATGATGACATTGTGACGGATAGTTGTTGAGGGGGCCAGGGGAGACGAAATTGTGGGAAGGAAAAACTGCTGAATGTCTCCTCTCTAGATGTCTATACATTGCATCTTTGGTAGGAGTACTTGTCAGATCATTAGTCAATCCTTGTTACTCTGCGTGCTCCTCTTTCTCTTCGTGTCCTTTCCCCTGTTAATTGAAAATTGTTTTTTTCTCGAATACGCAAAAGATTTACGTATCATTGTAATTAAGAAGAAGAAGAGTTTAACCATACACACGACACACTTCTAATGAGCGTTCTAGAAAATCTTACAGTTGTGACTGGACCTTCCTAGCAGACTGTTTCAAACTTCGATATTACATAAAAGTAAACAACCGAACTAAGGACAGCGCAGTAAGCTACGGAGCTGGGCGTCTCCGCTACTGGCCGCGCGACTCTGCTCCATTATTCGAGAAGAGTCTTCTACCAGTCGTAGCATTGGTCGCTGGGAATAGCACGTCCAGTGCTTCCACTTCGCTCGACATCAAGTTCCTTGCGAAAAAGTCGTCGTAAGCTCTCTTGGACGTGGATGAGATTGAAGCTGCCGGCGATGCAAAGCCCATCCTCCACATGAGGAGCACCTCGCCCCGCTTGGAGGTCGGAATATGCACCAGTGGCTGAGCGGCAATCCGTCTGCTCCGTTTTGGCATGAGTTGCCTTATGGTTGCCACCTTCTGCCTGGGTGGGCTAGCGATTAATGGCGGCATTCGCTCGAGCTGCACCTCCTCAGTGAACCATGCGAGACGTCGGGCACCTTCACGTGGTGTGGGCGTCGCGTCGCTGGGGGTGGTGCAACCCTTTGCGACGCCAGGTGCTCCCGCTCGTGGTGGCGTGAGTTGTGGCGGCCCCTGCACTAGCGACATCAGAGACAAGTCCGTCGTCCACTGAGTAGCTGTCGCCGGGGAACAAGTGTCCGCCACCGGTGCTTCAACCTCCTAAGCGGCTGTCGTAGCAGGCAGACACTCAGGTGTTGCTACTCTCATTGGTCGGCTCACGATGAGCGAGGCGGCGAGCTCCTCTAGCATCGGGTCGAAAGAGATGACCAATGCGGGAGGCCCCGCACTCACGCACAGCGCCAGCGCCACCGGATCTGGCTCGAGGAAGCTTAGTGCAACAGTAGAAGTAGGTGCCTTGTCGGCGTGGTCGGCAGGCGCACCCATGCCGATCTCCTTCGGCTTAGTCTTGCGTCGCCGATGTCGTCGTCGTCTCCCACTAGCGCCCCCACGGCCCTCGGTGCGGCGCCCTCCCCGACCGCCCGGCAGCAGCGTCTTTGGGGAGGATGTAGGGTAAATCACGCAGCGTAGTACCGTGACAAAGAGGTTGGCACCACCGCCGAGGTCGGGGTCGCCGCGCTCCGTAGTCCTTGACGAGGTGCCCGAATCGCGCGACAATAGCGAGCAACGCCGTGGCAACCGATAAGTCGCTACTCGGTGCGAGTAGGAGAGGCAGTTGAAGCATCTGCCGTAAAGCTCTGCCGGGATCTTCTTGACCTGCGAAAGTTGCTTTTGGCTGGGGCGAGGCTCCGTCGAGGCAGCAACAGATTATGTGACCTGCCGGGGGAGGATCTCACGCCACCCATCGATGTTGGGGGCGGAGACCCGTCCACGGGCGGCCGAGGCGTTGGCGGGGAGGACACGGCCATCCATCGCCGGCCGTGCAAGCAAAGCGTTCACCACTGCGGGCGTGGCGGCTGCGCTTCTCCGCTTCACGGCTATGTCCTGTCGGCCCGTTCGGCAAGACGCAAGACGTTACATGCCCGCTCCGCGGCGCCCAAAAGCTGGTGAACGAACGAGTGCTGGGGTGCACGGGGGACGCTGAGGCGGCTTATTGGCGACGAAGCGGCCTCTGGTTTGTCGCGGGTGGTCGTCATCGGTCTCTCTCGTCGCCGTCGTCCGCCCACCGCCGGCTCTTTCAACGCCCTCCCGAGAGCATCCGGGAAGAACGGGTGCCATGGTGGAGAGGGAGGAGCTTGAGGCGCCCAGACGCCGCGTGTGCATACCCTAAGGCCGGCATGGGCGCGGCGCGTTGCGCCATCCCAGCAATGGGCGGAGAGGACGAGCGCCGAGCTAGCCCCCTCGGCCCGTCGCCGGTGCGGCCGTGGTGGCGTCCGTGGCGGCGTCCTCATCCCCCGGCGGCGTTGGCGCAGGCTCCACGGGAGGAGGCGGCGGTGGAGCGGCCGAGCTGTCAGCGTGAGCCGCCCCGGCGCCGGTGGAAGCCGCGTGCGTTGGTGATGGCAGGGGGGCGGGGTTCGCAGCGCCACTAGTTGATGAGGCCCGAGATCCGGAGCCTACCACCGGCGGGCCGTCAGATCCGACGGGCTGGATGCCGGGGGCGGCAGCGGCAGGACCATGCGGGCGCGGCGGCGGCGGCGTGGTCAAGAACGGCACCGCGACGCCAACAACAAAGGCAGGGAGGGGAGGGGGAGAGAGGCGGGGAGGAGGAGGTGGGGGGGTTGTGGGGCGCCGGCGCCAGGGTGGCGGTGGTGGGGTCAGGGCGCTAGGGTTCGGCGGGGTGGAGCCTGATAGGCGGACGCACAAGTGGATCGAACATAATCGAACGTTGTCTGCAGTCCATGGATATCAGGATCTGCTTGCTCCAACCATTTATATGCTCATTTCCAGCGACGAAGGGGTTGATGTCCCCAGAACCGGTTGCAGAGGAGATACCAATGGCTGAGTCATGGGCTCACAGAAATGATTTTGATCATGTTCTCTTATTGCTGCACTGGGGTGAAACTATATACCTGCCACACCTTGCTTAGTGCTTACTGACAGCAGCACTTCATGTCTCATTAGGGGAAGGATTAGAAAGCTAACAAATTTCAGTCTCATTACTGACAAGGCTGCAGAGCAATCAGAAAAGGGTAGAGCGCTTGACCGCCTGTCGCCGCTCCTTCCAAGTTTTCCAAGGTTGAGCTGTTTACAAGGTTTGTCGTCGCCTCATCGGGTTCCGCTCCTTCCAAGTTTTCCAAGGTTGAGCTAAGGTTGTCATCGCTTCATCGGGTTCCTCAAACGATAGTGTATACAAAGAAAAAAAAAGCAACGAAAAGCGAAGTCGGAACACAGCTGTAGCAAATGAATTTTGTTCATACTTTTATTGCCCGTAGCAACGCACAGGCTTTTAGCTAGTGAGATTTAAAGGCTCTAAAAAGAACACACGCACTCTGACCTGCAGAAAGAAGCAATGCTAGCATATGGCAATGTCTCATCTTGCAGTTTTTTTTTTTTTGAATCTCAGAGAGCTTTATAGACCACCAGTTCCAGGCAAATTGCCGGAGACCAATTCGGTTACAAAGCTTGGTGCCTGGCACCAGAACACATGCCCCCTCCATCAGGAGAGGCTGCTACACCATGGTTGGCCAAGCAATCGGCCACCCTATTACAGGTTCTAGGACAAGTTGAAATGGAACAGGAAACGAAATTGTTTGCCATCATTACCCGAATTTGTCTAAATAGAGCACCTTCCGGGCTGCTATCTAGACACTCTGCAGTATTGAGACAATAAAATAGCAAAATTGTGTTATGTTACTCGACAATAGTAGTCATACAAGCAATCAGAGTCACAAATATTCATAACTGAAATCAGTAAGGTGATTCATTAATCATTATTGATTGCCAAAATTTTGTTATGTTACTCGGCAACAGCAGTATAGAGGAACAACAACAGTATTCAAGCTGTCAAAGTCATAACTGCACCTGTCTCACCGTTCTCACATCCGTTCTACACCATAACTATACAGAGGAACTACTAATTTCTCAAACTAAAAAGACCACGTAACAGTTATTCATGGTGCTTAAAATTGTAGAGAGGCTATACACAGTTCAGCTATAAATGTAGAGAAATCATAGTCACCATAATACTATGTACCCTCAAGCAGAGAGCTAGTAAGCCGCATACCCCTGGGACCTCAAGCGGGGAACCAGGAACCCTCACCCTCCTTCAGGCAAAACTGACATAATGATTGGTTAGGACTAGCCGCTAAGAAAGCAGCAGACAAGAGGAAACCATGACAGAGCAGAGCTTTCTCAGCTCATCGCATGGACATCAGGATGCGCCTCTGGATCGTCCTCTTGGAAGGCTGAGCGGCCTTCGGAGTTTTCTTCAGGTTTCGCCTCACCATCTTTTCGATCTGCTCTATCGAGTTGGACAGCTTCTTCTCCATGAGATCTGTGAGAGCTGGATCATTTGGTTTGGACGGAGTGGCCTGCAAGGAGCAGTCAGATGGAGAGGAAGATGTCTTCAGCTTGCCATCCTCCAAAGAAGTTGCAGGGCTTGCAACAGCTTGACCTCCCTCAGTTGTTGGCACACCCTGCTCTGCCTGTGCTGGAGTTATTGGATCCACAGATTGGGAAGAATCTTCTGTCCACAGGATCTGCTGCTGAGCTGCAGCATTCTGCAGACGACTTCTCCTCTCAATTGCCTGCATGTTGCAGTTAGTACATCAGTAGATTTCCAGGGGAACACTATGCACATCTAACATCTAAGTATAAAACTTCTGCCAATAAATTAAAAGTAATAGACAAGTAAGCACATTTTGAGTCAATGGTCAGTCCAGAAAGTAGCTAACACAGATTTTCTCAACATAAAGCTAAATTTGCCACAAAATCTAAATCACTGCAAATCAGCCAACAGTATTTTCAGTCATGGCGCCCGCCCTGTTCGCTTGGCTTATAAGCCGTACTTTTTCAGCCAACGAACAGTATTTTTCTCTCACAACAAATCAGCCAACAGTATTTTCAGTCATGGCTTATCAGCCAAGCGAACATGGCAAATATTGAAAGCAATATTGCCTCTTTAAGGGAACTAACATTCATACTCCAGAGGAAATTTTAAAAGCATTCTAGTTGAATATCAGCTATCAGTAGTTTCAACAGTTCCAATATCAACAAATATAACTCCGTAACCGTGTATATAAGCAACAGCATAAAGATGCTTCCGTAATATAAGTTATGAACATGATAAAACCAGTAAAAATTCACCAAATGAAATTCTTGCAAATATCCTGAATAGATTGGTCATATTACAAAGCTTAAAACTAAAGATGAAGTCAAAACCTATACTATGAATCTTTATAGGAATCTCAGTTTTAGTATGCCACGTTTAAATGAATGGACATTTCAGAACAGCCAAGAAGACAGGCCGTTGCAAATAAGATGCTCAGCAGCTGAATTTAAGTTGATGGATGATGGCAAATTGTCAATTAATTTCTAAACATGATCCTGTAATCAGAGAAATTTCTACACCATCAACAGCCTGAAGTGTGCGACTTCTTTTTAGTTGCAGTGCATAGTTTCTAGAACCAAACAAGTACAACAATTCAGTCATGATGCAAAGGAACATCTATTATGATCGGTTAAATATTCAAACACTAATATAAGTGGGTTAAGATGACAACAAGGGGAAAGGGATAACATTAAGTAAAAGGGAGAACAATAAATTTAGATTTAACTGGCCTTATTGACTACTGAATCTTTCTGTAAATTTAAGCACGTTTAAATTGTCAGGCACCTAAACTGGGATAGCTAGATGCAAGTAAGACAGAATAAAAGAGTGTTGATACTGCCTTGTAAGAGTATTGTTGCTATTTGGAATTATAAGAATCTTTTGCTATGACTTGCTGCACTAATGATAAAATCCACTTGTATAATATTTCTCATTCTATGTCATCAAGGCAGCTAATAGAATTGGCAGATCTTATTGTATTATAGAATAACAATGTGCAAGGCTTAACATTCTGAACACCAATTACCAAATCTACTCCATATTTCCATAACATATCTTGTTGCTCACTAACCAGGCATTCTGAATACAATCACTGACAACTCAAACATTGCAACACTGTAGCATATTATAGAGTACGGTTCATACACCAAATACAACAAAATGGAATTAAACATTAGCAGAAATGGTGATGGTGTCACGGAATTCAGAGAAGAACGCATAAAACAACAAGGGTCCACCACCTTGACGATTGATGTGATGTCACGGAGTGGGGTCCTCGGGTACCAGTCAGGCAAGGGGCTCCTCTTTGGTGCACCCCTCACAGCTCCCACTGGTGGTACATTCTCCTTGTTGCTTGACGGTGACAGGGCCTGTCGAGCCAGCGGCTTGACAGCACCTTTCACTAGCACAGCTCCTGGCGATTCTACTCTCCTGATAAAGAACCCACCACCAGAGATGTCGGCGAGAGCCGGCCTGCTGGCAGTCCTCACTTCATGCATCTTGTAGTTCTGGAAGAAGTGTATTATAACCACATCAGTGATGCAAGAGACCAAAGAATGCATAATCAGATAAACAAATGACTGAAATCACATTATTTCTTACTGATGTTCTGGTCTCTGCTCTTGCCTATTCTTGGCGTCCTAAGTCCTATTGCTCTTCCCCTGGATCTACAGAAGAATTTTTCTCCTATATCCATGCGAGAAATTTTCGGATGAAGCTAACAAGCAGAATTCAGGAGGACTCATGAATAACTAATGCACCAAAAATCTCCTCACCTTTCTGTTCGTTCCCTGCCTGGCTTCTGCTCTTTCCCTACGACTCTAAGATTCCTACCTGAAAGAAAGACGCAACTCAGAAAAGACCAACGTATAAGCATCGATAGCACGAAGAAATTGCCTCAAGAAACACGGTAATAATCATTAAATCCGCGACGGTTCTACTCATAATCCCGCCTCAATCCTCTACCTCCAAGGGATTTACACATAAACAAGCCGCAAGACACGTCTGAACAAAGCAATTTGGGTAAAAACCAACAAAATCAGCCCAAGAACCAACCAAATCCCCCAACCGTTTCGCGATTCTCAACTTGGATAGATTCCCACAGCTCCGGATCCCGCACGGCAATCCTTACCCTCCTGCAGATCTGCAAGAACAGGAACAGAGGAAAACCCCCATCACCAAACCGCTCAGAAAATTGCAACCAAACAACCACATCCAAATCCTCCAAACCGCAAAAAAAAATACTCACGATTTGCTCGGCTCCTGCCCAGTCCGCTTCGATCCAATCCCCGCACCGACTACTCCCTACGATACAGCCCCGATTCGGGAGGAATTTCTGGGTAGATTTCCTAGGGTTCGTGCCTGGTGCTACTACTGCTCTGTTCTTGTTGGGGGTTTGGCCGTTGCCCGTTGGTGGAGGGCAGCGCAGGCGGGGCTTTTAACGGGTTCGAAATTCGAAATTGGCGAGGGCCGAAGGGCACGATGTGCGGTGGGCCGAGAGCAGCTCCCGGACGTTCATTTGTTCGAACAGGAGTGATGGACGGGCAGGATGGTTCCGGTGTATGAACCTGGTGCATGTAGTGTGATGATTTCGAACTTTTTGACCGTTGACATCGGCTCTGGAAGCTTCATTTTGATTAGATTATTGTTATATTATCTCCTCAGCGTCATCAGCGGCAGCGGCAGATACCATTTTCAACATCCGAAATTTAAGTCTCGCTTATCTGTTTTAATTCAGTTGAAATTTTCCCATTGATCATTTTAATTTTAAAATTCAAAAATCACGACCAGGCTCTCTCTTTTTCTAATAAAAACAGTGATTCAAAAGGGATTTAGCATTACTGTTTCCTACTTCAAATTTATGTACCCTTTTGTACAAATTAGCGCGCGATCACAAATTAGAGACACCTGATCTAAAATTTAATCTAAATTTGGAACGAGCATGTTTGAGAGCTTTGGTCTTCTTTTCCCTAAGGTAAAGTACATTTTCAACTTTGAATTGCGAAATCGTATAATGGACGCAAAATAGTACAAATTTAGTCATCTTGTTGACTTTAAAGGTGGTTATTTTATTTTATAATAATAACTATAAAAATCTTGTTTACTATGTGGAAATTCATAAATAATTTAATTTACATCAGAAAAAAAATGTTCTTGACTTGTTTATGATTCCAGATTGTGTGGGATTGGCAGAAACTACAAACGTTCTTCATCGCAATATATGGACGTTGCGGTCATCACAAGCATCCAACTATGTATAAGAAGGCAAGATAATTTTGGGGCATGACATTAGGAGAAGAGGGGTCGGCATACCGGATGTTGATCTTGAATCGAGAACGATGAACAGCTTAGTTGGAAGCTGTGGCAGAACCTTCTAAATTATAGGGCCCACATGCACCTGTCACTGTCCAACGACCTTTGACATCTATGCATACGTTCCCGATAACTTAAGAAGACTGTCGGGTGTCCTCGGGGAACCTCGAATCATCCACGATTTCCGAGCAGGATCACATTACAGAGTCATTGCAGTATTACACCAGTTTATTCAAATAGATACATCAGAGTAAAAACAGCGGAAGTCTTATAATAACATAGTTTACAAACCATTTGTTTCAAACCATACAACTAAGTTCGATATTAATACAAACCAAAGTAGTGGAGTGGCATTATAATATATTACAAAACACACAATATAAGCTGCCCTGCCCAAGGGCCATATATTTAATTATCGTCATAGCACTGAACAACAGTCATGCAGCACGATCCAAAACAGATCTGCTCATGAGCCTCACCTGCAACAAGGGTCAACGAACCCTAAGTACAAAAGTACTCAACAAGACTTAACCGAAATAAGAATTTAAAAGAACGTAGGAATGTAGGCTCATGGGATTAAAGGTATGGATTTAGCAATGATCAAGGTTATTTTGCGTAAAAGCTTTTTAACAAAAAATTTTTATATCAACATTTAAAACTTCATAAGATCATATACAAAGCTGACACGATCCGTATTGAGATTATGAAACTTCGTATCCAACACTTTCTCATAACATCCTTAAGTTCCAGTTATTAATTACTACGATGATGAACAGTGAGTTTAGTCTCCATAACCGAGGAGCAACGACGATTCAAACCGATTATAACTCAGCTGGAAATTCCAGACCACACGACATATGCAGGTCCCCGACCTACATATACCAACCTACCCTCAGGTCCTCTAAAACAAGAACGGGTCCACGCCACCCGAGAATACAGTACTCCACCAATCCAGCCCATTGTCACGTGGGTACACGCTATTCCCGCCATCTCTTTACTCCCAGTACGCGAGTAGCCATTCTCGTAATAGAATAGCCAAGTTAAGGCTTACCGGAGTATGTGGTTAGTACTACAAAGTCTCACCTCATGCAATTCAACAACGGATGGACCTTAATCGACACAGACGGAAAGAACCTGCTCATAAGACCTCCATGTCTTGTGGCTCACACACACCGAGTCCGCCCGGTCTAGATTTATTACTCCACATTCCCATATCACATGTTAACATAATTAACCAAAGTTTCATTTAAAACTTACAGATGACAGGTAATCACCCGACTTTCACCGTTCTAAGCATAGCTAAGCAAAACTGGCATATACGAATTTAAAACTGGTAATATGATAAATATGGAATAACAAGGTTGGTAATGTACCAATTTGGTTTTCACTTGACTCCTAATCACTTAATGCAGTAAAAAGAAGCAAAAGCGAAATCAATTTATAAAATACAAGGTAGGGTTGTATGCATCCGGGGCTTGCCTTCGTTGACGGAAAAGTCCGGGTCCGGAGTCGTTCCACCGATATCAACACCAACCTCCACAGACGGAACAACCTCCTCAACCACTTGATTAACTACTACGTTTTCACCTTCGTTCACTACACGTAGTAACAATGCCATGTTTAACATGATGTAGAATACGAAACATGATGCTCGATGATGGATACAAAATTAACAACTTTAATACAACTTTCCTTCGCGGTACAGTTACAAGTTAAACTAACTAAACTATTTTTGCAACACTCACAACAATTACCAAGAATCATCACCAACTAATGACCCAAGGACATCACTTAAACAAAAACTCAAACAAAACCTAAATCACTAAAGGTTACTATTTGCTTTTATGAATTAATTAATTAATTAATTATTATGAAATAAATCAACTTGTTCCAATTGACCACAAAATTTTTATATATGTTCATCACATGATAACTAAGTGACAAAACAATTTTCATAATTTTTTGATACATAAATAAGCCTAGAAAAATCCTGAAAACTCATTTATTAATTAATTGAGCAATTTTTATTACATTCAAAAAGTACTGAAAATCAACATTTCATATTTTTCCTAAATAATACACATCACAGAGAAGTCACACAAAAATTTTCAGAATTTTTGAGCTCTAAATAAATCTACTCAAAAATAACAAAAACAAACACTATTTATTTAAATCTGAAAAACAGAAAAATCATTTTGAACGCTGAGTCACTGACACCATGACCCCACTTGTCATCTTCAACCTCCGACGTTGACCACGACAGCGACGACTCTGACCGGCGATTCTTCGCCGACGGTGAGTCCAACGGCGACGGCCAAAGTACCAAACGATCACCAAGACTAGGCGCATCGATTGGACGTCCCTATATCTCAGATTCGACGGCCCTATAATAGCTCGACGAGCGACCATGGCGACGGATGGTGGCACGGCAGCGGCGCTACGCGCGACGTGAAACCAATAGAGCTCAAACAAAGGATCCAGAAGCATCGGTAGCTCACCCCGAACGCGTTGAAGCAAGGAGGCGAGATCAAGAAGCAGCGAGAGGCGTGGCGGCGACCACGGTGATCACGCGGCGGAGCAAAGATCATCGGTGAGGAAGAACCGACAACTGTAGTGATCAAAACGAGCAAACAACACAGGATTAAACACCACAGCATCGAGACGAAGCCGTAGGTACACCGATCAAGGCCAACGGCTCACCGGAATAGGCTGGCCGCGATGAAACAGAATCTCGGGTGAGGTTGCTTTACGAGGAAGAAAGCGACGAGCAGCGAACTCACGCAGCGAAATCAATCGACCGAGCTAGTTGGCTGGGTGCACAAGGAGTAGGCGAATCTATCTAGCGCTATGCCGTGATTTATGGGCAGCGCCTGGTTCGACGGCGAGGGCTCAACGGAGCAAAATGGCGGCGGGATGGAAAAACAGAGGAGAAAAGAAAGCGAAGAAACGGCGACGGTGGCTGGCTTATAACGTACCAAGCAAGCGCAAAGAAGCCACACGGAAGCCTTCACGCGCCTAACGCGACGCTTGAGACTGACCACACACGCACTTGGGAAGAAGCAAAACCAAGCTCGCCATGGCGGTGTAGCTTAAGCGGTGAACACCGTTCATCGAAATTACAGAATTGCTATTCGCCAAATTTCACAAATTACTCCCAAATTTTCATAACAACTCAAAAATCTCCAAAAACAAACTTTGTACAACCCGACAAGCTCTATAACTTTTCTTTAAGACTCAACCCCAAAATGTGGTTCGATTTTGAAATGGGTTTTCAGGGTCGGATTTAAATATTGAAAATCAGGGTTTTCAGAATTTCAAATCAATACAAAGATTTCAAACTTGATTCAAACAATACCAAGCAATGCTTATAACATAAATGTAAACTTGTTTTAGTGAATGCATAACAAAATTTGCAATATGACCAATGCCTTACAATGCATATGATGATATGTTCGGTTTTTAATATTTAAACAACCGAGGTGTTACAGAAGCTATAACATGTCATTTAGACACGAGGTTCGAAGAAAAAGAGTAGAGCACCCTTTGGCGCATCAAGGTTCCATCCAAACTCTGCATCTTTCTTTGGAGGCTTGCTCGGCTCTCCGTCCCCACGGGGGATATTCTCAATCACAAGAACATGGCGCCACATAACAATTGTGCCTCTGTGAAGTGTCAGACTCATGGAGGCATTCACTCCTGGAATGCAATATGGCAAAAAGCGTGTGGGCACCTGAGCGACATGAAATTGTTGAACACCTATACGAGGCCTAAGAACAAGATGCCAGAGGTTGGCTTGCAAGGATGATGACCTCTCTAGTGCAAGAGGACCCGGTTCGAGTGGTAGTATCCCTCTGGGTGATTTGGTATGTGACGCGAAAGGCAATCCATGAGGGTTTAGGCCATATTTGGTTTCTACCGTCGCTTCTAAAATTTCTGTCACATCGAATATTTAGACATATATATGGAGTATTAAATATAGACTAATTACAAAACTAATTGCACAACTTGCGACTAATTTGCGAGACGAATCTTTTAAGCCTAATTAGTCCATGATTTGACAACGTGGTGCTACAGTAAACATGTGCTAATGACATATTAATTAGGCTTAGAAAATCGTCTCGCAAATTAACCTCCATCTATGTAATTGGTTTTGTAATTAATCTATATTTAATGCTTCTTATTAGTATATAAATATTCGATGTGACATAAATTTTAGGAGCGACTAAAGAACCAAACATCCCTTTATTCTAAAGTCTTCTTATTGGTATCCGATGGAATGGGGAAGTAAGGGAGTTGTTCCATCGTATATATCCCCACCA